AGGAAGGTAATCCCCAGGAGGGTCAAAGGGGGCAGGAGTCAGCTAGGAGAGAAGGACTGCAGGTGTGGCGGGGAAAGTCTGGCAAACTCTGGGGAATGAGAATTCACTGCCTGTGTTAAGGAGAGAAGACTGCAGAGAGGAGTTGGGTACAGGCAGGAGCTGTGGACACAAATAAATTTCCACAGGAGGCAGTCTACTCCAGGAGCTTCATTCACCTCCATGCTACTTCAGGTCTACACTGCTTTGAGTACCTTCTGTCTGCAAAACTGCAAGAGCATGAGGGTGACTTGCTCTCCATGACTACCACTGATAGATTTTCTTGCAGTTTCCTCCAGAGCAGCTGGTTTTGGCCTCTGCCAGGTGGGAGAGTCCTCCAGAGGGACCACCAGCATGGTCTAGTGTGGCAAGGTCTTTTCCAACAAAAGGAGAAACTTACTACATAAATCTACAATACCCAACATGGGGCACTTCCCCTCCATGCTCACTCTTTCCAGGAGGTGCATGTGCAAACATTTTGGTTGCCTACCACCACACTTCATGCAGTAAGAGATGTCACTGAGGCAGCTTCTATACTGGCATATGCTTTAACATTTCCCCCTATTACAGCTCAGTGGATGAACCAGTGGGATCCCTATTTTAGATCAGCCACCAGCACTTTATATAATGCGTCATCCTGTAGCGCTTGTGGGGAGACATAGACACCATGGTGGTTAAATGGCCTGCTGCATTTAAGCTAGTGCTTCTGCTATTGCTAACTCTAGCAGACCTGTCCTGGTGACACTGGGAAATATTAAGACAAATGCAAAGCAAGATAAGACTGGTTGAGCCTGTGCCATGCACTAATTTAAAATATGCTAAATTAATACAGGCTTCCCTCGCTTTATGTGGTACATGCGTGTTCCCAGAAAACTGCATAAATCAAATTTGCATAAAGAGAACCCAGCTTATAAAGTAACAAATAGGGATACATTCCTGTGGCGGGGAGGGGGGGGAGGTGTGCAGCACAGCCCATCCACCGCTCCTGGGGCTGCAGCAGGGAGCAGAGCAGAGGGAACTGTCAGTGGGTGCCGGGTGTGGGGTGGTGGGGTGCAGCTCTTGCTGCTACACACACCCCAGGAAGGCTGGGGGGCTGCACTGTGCACCTGGATCCTGCGTGCAGGATGAGAGCAGGCTGCCACTACAGGCTGGGGCCGGCAGTGGCACCAGGCTCTTCCTGGCACTGGGGGCAGGCTGCAGCAATGGGAAGGGGACTGCTGTCACCCCAAAATTCACTGTGCCCCATGCCCCCCAGGCCTCCTCCTGCAGCTGCCATGGGAGCGGCCAACACCACCTGCCTGTGGGGAAAAGTGGAGCCCGTGGGGGTTTGGGGCATGGTGGAGCCCAGCAGCTGCAGACAGCTGGCATTGGCCACTCCTGGAGCTGCTGCAGCAGGGGCTGGGGTGAGTGGAGGCAAGCTGTGCCACACCCCAGGGCTCTGCTTCTCCCTACTCACACTAGCCCCTGCTGCAGCAGACCTGGGAGCAGCCGACACCACCTGGCTTCACCACAGCACAGCGCAGACCAGGGGATGGGGTGTGCAGGGACAAGCGGAGGGCTGGAAGGGGTTCAGGGCATGATGCAGCCCAGCGGCTGCTGGCAGCTGGCATTGGCCACTCCCAGAGCAGCTGCAGCAGGGGCTGGGGTGAGTGGGGCCCCAGCCCCATGGCCCTTTCCCTTCCCTGCACAGACCTACCTGCTTCAGGAAAGGGGGAGCACACCTATGCCAATCGCATAAGAGTGAATATACCTCACATACAATGAACTTGGGATATAAAAACAGTCATTGCATAAGAGCAAATTTGCCTATACTGAACCTGCATAAATTGAGGGAAACCTGTATTTGCAGCCCCTCCTTCTGACCTTCATTCTCTCTTGGCATCTTATCACCGCGGAGCTCCCTAGGGGCAGAAGTAGCTGGGATAGGTGCATATGTGCTGGATCTGGGTGGTCCACTGAGCTCATGGATTCCAAAGATAAGCAGCCCAGAGCAGATCCCTGCCCCTACCCTTCCACACTGGTGGGTTATGCATTTGAGAATAAGGCAGGAGAGAAAATTTTCATCCAAGGATTTTTTCAGTGGAAAAAAGGAATTGGACTGAAAACCTGCCTCCACAGAAAAGGTTGCCTTTGCATTAAAAGGCAAAACATAAAAAGAATTTATTGCAGATGAAAATCTTTCTGCATGCAGCTATAAACGGTTTGTTTTAGCATTTTTGATCTTTCAACAAAAAGTCCAGCTACTCTGTAAGAATGTCACCAAATGTGGTTTTCTTACACTTTGGCCAAGATTGTCCATTTAAACAGAAAAAGAGAGAGAAAAAAATCCTTGTTTTCTGACCAGTTCTACCCAGGGACCTTGTCCCTGCCACTGATATGTAGGAAGGGCAGCGTATGAATCTAACAAGTACATAAATGAGCTCACTGTATGACATGAACCAAGTCACCAAGCTCTTCTCTGGGCCTGCAAAATGGGGTCAACTGGGCTGCTGAGGTTGGCCTGTGGAAAGTGTTTTGACCTTGGAGAAGCAAGACCCAACTTTGGAGCCTGTGTTTGACCAGCTGGGTACATTAGACCCATGATCTCTCACAGCCGGTAAGTTGTTCTTATCACGGGGACTTTGGGCTTTTGTAAGTGGTGTTCAAAACTGGCTCTCTCCAGTACTATGAGAGTCCCTGTGCTAAGCTCCTGGGCAAAGGACACAGGTTCTGCTAGTACCCATGGACACTAACCAAAAGAGCTCTGGTCTAATACATGTAAGACTGTGGCCCTAAATGGTTAGGGAGCTCAGTGTCAGGTGGCCCGTTACTGTCAATTGAGAAGTTTTAGGTCTAAGTCAACATAGATACTCCAGATGTTAACAGCTTCCACCAGCCCCCAGGAATTGCTTCCCACTGCCCATATGGGTCTCCCACCCGTGCCCAGAAGAAAACATGAGACATCAGCCCTACCCCATGGGAATTACTCCATCCTTCAGCATAAAACCCTGAACAGACCCCCAGCTAAACATCTAAGTTCACAGACCCCTCCTCTGCATTCTCCCTGGCTTGCTAAATAAATCGGCTTCTTTGATAGGAACCGCAAGAGCCACTGTTATTGTGGCAGATCCCTTTTGACCACAGGCCTGTTATCACAGGCAGCAGGATGGAAGAAGAACAGATAGAAATGCTGCTGCTACTGCAAGGTCTGCATCATCTTTTCCTGAGAGCCACACAAAGTGGGATGACAATGATGGAAAAAACTGCCCTCACGTGTTCCCATCCCCTCCACCCCTCACAGCAACACAGCTCCCAAGAGCAATCAGACTCACCCAGCATCACCATGGACACGACGATGGTGAGCAGCAGGAAGGCACAACGCCACTTCCCAACCAAATGCATGGCAGCTCTTGCTTTTCAGGGCTGATGCAGCTCTTTCACGCCGTCCATCCTGTAGGAGCCTAGCTGCGATCCCAGGAGCTTCCCTCTGTGCAGCCTGTCCTACCCGGGCAGCGACGCCGTTCCCTCGTCCACCTCCCCACTGCTCTGCCCAGACTCTGGGTGCTCCTGACTGATTAGCTCAGGAGAAGTTCCTCCTCCTGCCTCTTCACCGCACTGGGCTTCCTGTGCTGAGAGCGAACGCTACACTGAGGAAACAGATTGAACAGCTCTGCCTTCCGTTTATTGGCTCTCCTCACAAGGCTGAAGTGTGAAGATAAACTCCACGGCAGAGCTCAGCATAGGGTAAAGAGAAGGGAGTCTCCAAGCCTGGGTCACAATCAAATTTAAACTTTGGGATGTAGGGAAGACATATTCCTCAGCCAGTGTTGGCACAGAGCTCAAGACTTCAGATGAGAAGATCTTTCCCAGAGGCACTAACAAGCTCACACCTTCTCATTAATGCATTTTTTGAACAATTTTCACTTTAGGAACTGTTTGGCTACTGCCAAGACCATGGCCTTAATCCTGCTTTTAAACATACAGGTGCCCCCAACCCCAGTCTTCAGGGCTGAGATTGAACAATGAGGAAGAAGCAAGGATTTCTCATGTTTTTCATCTAGCTTTGGACTCAAGCGATCCAGACTTTGAGGACTAGCAGCCATTTCTCCCCCATCAGCACAATTTCTGGCCCCTCTTGCTGACAGATGGTCATCTTTGAGCTATACTATAGGACTCATTTCTTCTCCTCCACCTCACTGCCCTTCACATCACATTCAGAGTTGCCTGCTTCTGCTCAGACCCATGAGGAAATGAAACTTTTCAGGTCACCTAAGGAACTGGGGACGTGCAGCCTATTTAGCCATTTGCAGGTTGTGAGATGTTGCTCTGAGCGTATGGTCAAAAGCATGAGAATGTATAACACTTCTTTTTATTCTGTCCAACATTACAATGCAAGTTTTCAGCATCCATATGAGTGTCTAATGCTCTTTGACTCCTCCTCAGCAATTGGCCTTCATAATTTCACGTAGCAATGAATTCCACAGTCATTTACAGGCTGTATTAAAGTATATACTGCATTTACTCACATATAAGACAAGAATTTTTTTCACCAGTCAGCGTAGGAAAAAAGCTTCTCATCTTATATTTGCATACAAGGATAGCTCTATTGTCTATCATTGAACTGCTGCCAAAAGCAGCATGGGCTTAGTAATAGAAACTAACAATGAAACTGATTAAATGCAGCCAACGCTGAACATGACTATAAGACGTACGGTCCATATTGGGCAAACATACTGATGGGACCTTACTGCAAGAATAGATTAGTGCAGCCTTTCTAAATAAGAGGTACGGCAAGGCCGATTGCACTCAGGTCCCCTCAGCACTGACTTTTTTTTCCCAAGTCATAGTGAGCCACTCTACCAAGTAACTTTTAACTTCCTCTTTACTCCTACAGCTGAGCTGTGCCTTTCTTTTCCATTTCCAAAGATTCCTCTTTCTTTACCATTCTTAAATGTCTGGCAGACATCAAGAAACAGGGCTCCAAACAGTTTACCCAGAATCCCTCTGTCACCATCTCTCTCAGCCTGTTGCATATGACTAGTGTGGCCCTACTCTCCATGAGGTGGAGCCAGACCAAGTTGCCTTGTGCCTCATCTGCATATACATTTTGGAGGATCCAGAGACACATGACAAGAACACCCAATTCCAGTTTTACCTGTAAAGTTATGTTAAATTTATACATTTTCCATATATGGACTCTAATTATTGGGGGTTATCTTATATTCTGGGTCATATTATATTCATGTCAATATAGTATTAAAGAATGTTTCTAACCATTTCTATCACCTGTCCCTGACCTTCTTGTATCCCTGCTGTATCTTAGGGTAACAAAAACTGAGCACAGCGCGACCTGGAAGGGTATGCCAGTGTTTTAGAAGGATTTTCTATTCCACCCAATGTACATTTTAACATGCGGCTTGCCTTTTATCTGCCTTTGTGCCCTGATCTTAGGTTTCCACCATGTCTTAAGGACATGCCACTGATTTTCTGAGCAGTTACATTTAATCTAGGAATCAGTAATGTAGGTGAACAAATAACATAATTATCTCTAAGGTTGGGCAAAGGGAGATAGAGCTAGATTAGATGGACGGAGTTATGGAGAAGGGAAGACAGCAGAAAGGAAGAAGAAGATCCCCTGTGATAAAACAGAAGAAGCAGTTGGAGAGGGAAGAAGAACTAGAAGAGCTGACAAAGATTGAGGCCAGAGGAAGAGGAAGTCTCCAAGGGCAAAGGGAGACATGGAGGTCAGGAATCACTCTGAGGCAAGTTGCTTGACAGGGAACTATTTCATTCAGGGTCTGTTCCATGTGCCTCTGCATTATGTAACACATGCCTCTTCAAGGTAACAGAGCAATGTTCCTGTACATAGCATTTCTTCAGACGTCAGGACAGCCTTGGCTCCCCTGCAATCCTATGTGCACTATAGTGCTGTGAGACTTAAGACTACACCAGAAGAGACAGACTGTGTTAGTTCACACATTTCTACCCTGGCATGGCAGCAAAGAGTCCCCTCAAGAAAGAAAGGCTCCCAATGGAGACAGCTGCTGGCTAGGCAACAGAATTGTTACATGCTGCTACCTCAGCCCTTTCCAACTCATCTGTTCTGGTAGCAGAAGTCTGGGCTCTATCCTGTGGTTTTTATCGTGGTTATAAGATCCATTGTCTTTTCATAATCAGATATTATTTTATCAGATATTATTTGGCCCATGCACAGTCTCTGATCTGCTTGATTGAAGTGGTTTTGCTCAGTGTTAAGTCCTGACTGACAGCAGAACCTATTCTACTAACTCGTGAGAGCTACTGCAATGTGACAGATGTGAAGCTGGGTTTCAGCTCTCAGGGTGTAGGTGGAAAGTAAGCTTCTGTGAGTAACAATACTTCTGAATATGCCATGAACAGCAGCTGGCTAAATCCTCACCTGAAGTGAAGTGCCCTCCATGAACGCTATGTACCCCCAGCGGCTGGCAGGGTATGGAGAGTTCCAGCAGCCAGTCGTGGCGCTGGCAATGGTAGGAGTGGGGCGGCAGTAAGCGTGGAGCTCCTGCAGGCAGCCACGGTGCTGTCGGCAGTGGGGTGGGTGGCGAGCACTGACCAGTGGTTGGCGACCACCCACAGACACTGCTGGCGGTGTTGAGGGGTGGGCGAGTGGTGGCCACCCGCAGGCGCCGCCAGTACTGTTGGCAATGCCTTTTTGCAGGGCGTGCACTGCCACATTCAGGGGGTGCACATGCACCCCCTACGTGTCACCAAGGGTGCCCTGACACCATTGACTTCAGCAGAGCTATCCTCACTTATCCCTACTGAGCATCTGGCTCACTGTTGTCTTCCATATCTTGAGCCTCAAAACCTGGGGAGGAGTCATGTCTACAAGCGGGATGAATGTGTGAAGAGAGTCATCACTCACTGGAGTTGTTTCTGTGCTATTGCCACATCGGTTTCACAGCACAGAGTCCACATACCACCCCATCAGTGAAATGCAGGTTTTGCCTAGGAATTTGACAAGGAGGCTGTACGTACAAGGGTACAGTGAGTCACTCCCACAATACACCCTATACTGAAAGAACGTTTCACTCCCCTGCCAGAGGTGAGAGAGTCAGGACTTTTGTACTTAGCAGTGCATTTCCTGTTTGTGGATGCTTTACATCATAGCCTTAACATTATTTCTTGTTTTCAAATGTGAAAAATTCATCAGGAGCTTCTTTTCCCACTGTGGAAAGAAAGAAATGAACATGCTGAGGTTGTGCTGTTCATGGTCATGAAAATGAAAGCAAAAGCATTGGGTAGAGCCCTTTTTTGTGTGTGGGCAGGTGCAGTGCTCCCTCCTCCTATGCAGAACTCCGCCAACTACTACAGTCCCCCCTGCTCCTCCAGCACTGGGCTCCCCATGCACCTCTACCAGTACCACTCACTTCTGCCCTGAAGTGCCCCTGCTATTCCAGTCCTGCACCTCTTCCCAATCCTCCTAGCATTTCAACTTCAGCTCTTCAGGATATTTTGCTGCAGTCATTTCCTATCTTTTCAGTTCTACAAAACAACAGTGAGTTCTGACTGCCCTGTGCTGCAAGGAAATGGGATGGTGACACAGTATAGTAAGCTTCACCGAGGTAAGGGGCTGCTTCAGAAGCAGCGTCCTGGTTGTTTTGCGTGGTTAGTTGATATTGTTTATTCCTGGAAATGCCCACGCACCTGAAAGTCTTGATGAGAATGTGGTTCCTTTCATCTGTGACTTCCAGTGGAGGCTAGGAGAGGCACAGGTGGGAGTCCACATTCCCAGAGTCCCTCACATTTCAAAGAAGTTTTTAGGTAATATCACAACTGAAATTAGTGAAACACTCAAACCTGTTTCTTTTTTTTCCAACTAAAGGATCAGAATTGCTCTAAGCTACAATGTAGAGGACTACATTCGTTTTCTTACTATATATATACACACATGTGCAGGTTGAGATATCCCTGCGGACATGTCAGAGCAATTCTGGTGTGGTGCAATGATCTGTCAGTATCTCTGGACACTTCTTGGCCATCAGGTGTTGAAGCCTTGCCTCTTCCAATCTTCCTGCCTCCTGATGAAAATACGTGCTGTCTCAAAGACTCACTGATTCACTAGGACAGTTTCTCAACTGGTATAAACTGCCAGAGCTGCACTCCTGCCACTCTAAAGGCTAGAAGGAACTAATCATGCTCACACAGCCTGTCCTGTATCATTCAGGCCAGAGGGTTTCACCCAGTGGTAACGTAACTCCTAATGGGATGAGAGCTTGTCTTTTAGAAAGGCATCCAATGGAGACTGCTGCAGGCTGGGCAACAGAATCTGGGCCCATTTGGAAGAAGAGTGCCAACAGGAGAAAACTGCCATTGGATCCCTCTGAGGGGAGGAAATGAGTCACAGAGGATGAGCTGAGCTGCCGAGCTGAGGTTTTTTTAGGCAGCGGGTGGGGGAGGAAGCAGGCTGCTGTCTCTGGGAGGACACTAGCTCCTGTCTCATCTGGGACTTTAAGGCAACTGGAACCAACCTCATCTTTCATTGACTCTGGGAAGAATCGTGCAGGAGCCTTCTACTAGGACAGATGGCAAACTCTGATGCTTTTGAACAGGCAAACGGCAGGAAGTGATCTCTCTGCCTCTCTCACCTCTCTTTAGGAGGCACAAGCATGCTGTCTGATGCAAGTGGGGAAGGATCTGGGGCAGCAGGGCACAGAATTGGCACACTTGTGCTCTCCTTTGATTCCTGCTCCACCTAAAGTTTAAAGCCAACTGCCTGGCAGTGGCAGCAGTATTTCTATTTAGGCAGCAGTGACAGAGTCAGTT